CAGCCCAGACTTTCGGGCCCAAATATTTTTAAAATATACACTCCTTACACTTAGTTCCATTTTCACAAGGGAATTCTTCTTTCTTTAAAAAATTCATTAGTTTACTTTTTATCCCTTTAGAATGTACTGATTTTTCGTTTAATAGATTATAAGAATAAACATCTCAGTTTTGTATGAGGAGCAGTTAGGTTTTAGATATTATCATCTGTTCTGTTACTGCTTTATTATATAAAGCTTTGGCAATATGATGCAGCACTGACTGATGTTATCAAAGAGATAATAACAAAGTCACATTCATTCAATACTCACAGTGTGCCAGGCACTTTATATAAAGAATTAAAAGAACTAAACACACCTACTTCGCAGAGTTGTTTTACTATCTTACTATGGATGAGGATATTAACTTTTAATGAGATAAGTTAGTGTCCAAGATTACATAGTCAGAGGTAAAGCCACCATTCAACAAATATTTATTGAGCACCTACTGTATTCTCGGGATACAATGGCCACCAGCTCTTAACTATTAGTCACACTAGCTATAAAGCATACTGTTAAAATAGTCCTCATGTAATAGGGGATAGTTATACCTATTTCACAGGGTTATTGTAAGGATGATGGGACAGGCATAAAAATGGTTCAATAACTAGAAAATACATGGTTGAGACTATTGAGACTGCTACTATATTAGCATTATGAAATGACATATATAATTCTTGTCAGACTTGTTTGATAATTTCAATAGGACAGTGAAATATAAATTAGAAATACTTCTGGAATTGAATTGCACATTGAAAAGGTTTACTTTTATCAGTGAAATGGCTAAGAATAATAAGGTATTTTAGGGGGAGAATTTTTCTGATATCACAGCCAGGAACCAGTTGTGAATTGAACTATATATAGGTTTAGATTACAAGCTACAGTTCTTAGTATGATGATAATGCTGTTAATACTGAATAAGAATATCTCTTTAATAGATTACATTCTCATTTGCAGTATTGTCTTCCCCTTTTGAAGTCAAGGTTAACGAAGTTTAATTTACATGTAGTGAAATTCATCCTTAAATTTCCATGTTAGACAAATTGGTATCATTATGCAATGACCATCACAATCAAGATGTAAAATATTGCTATCACTCCAAGAAGTTCCTTGTGCCCTTTGAGGTCATCTGCTTCCCATTGATCTGTTTTCTGTCCCTGTAGTTTTACCTTTTCTTGAATGTCATGTAAGTAGAATCATCCTTCCTCTTTCTGATCTGTTAGGTTGTTTAGACATAGTTGCTGCAGTAGCAAATAAGATAACTGTGACTCCAGTTTTCTTACAAATTAGTAGTTGTATTAAGAAGCAGTTAAATCAGAGAAAATTAACAGAACCTGCTGGAAAATTGTTAAAAAAAAAAAAGAGAGTTTGTCAGAGGATTAGTAAATACTCAATTTATATGACATTTAAAAAGAACGAGCTCAGGTGAATGAATTTCATACTTTATGTGGGAAGCTAATAAAATCATTTTTAAACCTTTTTCTTTGGATGCCAGTTGTACGAAATTAGATGATTATATCCTTGATTCTTGATACACTTAAATAATTTATTCAGCATGG